CCACTCCCCCCTCTCACCTCACGGCAACGGGGGCCACTGCTGGGCCTTGGGGAAGAGAGCATTTCCGCCAAGAACTGATCTAAGAAATGTCTGTTTGGCTCTTAGAGGCGTTTTGTTTTGTTTTGGTTTTTGGGGGGTGCAGGATAGGGGTTGGGAGGGGCTTGCCTTTTGCTTTTTTCTTTTGTTTCAATTTATTCACAAACTATTTCAAATATACAGAAAATAATACAACAGACACACCCATATGCCCACGTGTAGTTAATCAACTGCAGCATTAAACTGATGTGAATCTTTGGACACTTTTGCTTCAGAATTCTTAAAGAATTCCCCCACCTTTTACCTCACAGGCAGCCTGCCTATTTCTGTAATTTTTTTTTTTTTTTACTATATTTGTAGCATCCATAAACAATAGATAGCTGTTTTTAAAATAAGCACAAATAGCATTCTGTGCATCTCATTTTGCAAATTGCCACATTTGTCTTTTGAAATTTATCCACGTTGCTGCCTAGAAATATTGGTCCATTCCTTTAACTGTTGTATTCTATTGTTTGTAGAAACCTGTTCATCCATTCTTCGGCTGAAGACACTAAAAAGTGTTTTCAAGCACATGGCCATGAGCGTCTGTGGGGTGGACAGCTAGACCTGAAATTGCTGTGTGGGTGCTGACTTTGTAGGTAATTTCCAGCAGGTGACAACGTCTCTGTTGCCACTCCCTCAACCCTGAAATGAGACTCCAACAGAGAAAATGTGAGGACTGAGAATTTTTAAATAATTCCAAGAAGTGTTTCCAAACACCCTAAAAGAAAAAAACAATGTCCCTGATGGATATAGAGCTTAGACCAGTGATATGGAGATTGTGGCATTTTAGATAGTTCCTTACCCTAAAGATGATTGATCTGGACAGCCTTCGACAACTCTGCCTGCTCTCTGTGCCCCTAGGCCCATCCGCTCACGATGACCATCCAGACTGCTACCCTTTCTCAAGTCAGGCCCCAGAAGCACGGGGCTCGTCCACTCCTGCTTCTAGGAGCCCAGAACATGTGCGGTCTGGCTGGGGCCCATCTCTGCAGCTGCCTCAGTGCTTTTCCTGCCTCAATGTGGTGATGGGATTGTATGAAGCGGGGCAGGGGGAGCCCTTATATTTGAGGACTGTAGATTTTCTTACCTTTCCTGTCTCTTTTCCCTTTTATCTCTTTCTTTTTTGCTAGTTTCACTTAATAATGGCACTATTGATACATTCTTACCTTTCAGAGTACAAAATTTAGACCCCATAGGAGAAAACACATAGCCCTTCACCTGTCACTTGGGAGCAGCTCAAATGTTTCTTTTTTTTAAAAGTTCATTCTGAAAGTCAAGAACTCCAGACTGCAGGGCAAAAGATATAAGATAGAAGACAAGTCTTATTCAGGGAAATTCCCAGTCACTTAAGCCAGCAACAGGGAGGAATGGAAGACCATGGTTTGTTCTATAAATCTGCACCACTGCAACTCTTTTCTTGGCCCCAAAGTGTGCCCTCTGGCTGGGGCCTCCATTCTGCTCTAGTTTCTTCCTAGTGTGTGTGCCTGGTGGGGAATCTGGAGATTCAGTTCCAGGCTCTTTGCACAGGATCGGCCACCCTCAGAAAGCTAATGAATAGCTGAGCCAGGCTGCAGGGGATGCTGGGGAGTCAGGGGGCTTTCCCTGGATTTTTAGGAGGGCTTAACCCGGAGGCCCAGAAATTGAAGAGAACATGGCTAGAAGCCACATCTTGGTGATAAACAGTGATTTGAAGACGTCTTCAAAGAAAGGCATTCATGAGAAGGAAAGCTAAGAGCACTGGTTTTAGCGTCAGCCACACGTGGAGTCTAGTTCCAGACCAACCGTTCACTTGCTGTCTGGGCAGAGGGTATAACTTCTCTGAGTCTGCAGGCAACTCACTATAGATTTGGGGTGTGCACAGTGCCCTATGACAAGAAGGCCGCCAATATCCTTTCTTCCCGACTGACACTCTGCTGTGGACTCAGCTGGGTGGACATGACAAAGAGGCCATGGTCCCTGTAGGGGAGGAAAAATGTCTCCCCAACCCTCTTAGAGTCCCCAGCTGGGCCTAAGAATTAAACTGACATAAAACAGTAACAGAAGGAAAGCATCTACATTTTATTAAAATTTTACATGTACAAGGGAGACTTCACAGGTAAATGAAGACTTGAGGAGGTGACCCAGAGCAGAAAGCTTATATACCTTTTAGACAAAGAAATGATAGATTTGTGAAGAAATGACAAGGCAAAGGGGGTTGGGCTAGGGACAGTGAATTGTGGGGAAGTGACTGGGAGTGGTATGGTGAAAAAACTAAGATAAGGGTTATTTTAGTAAGTGTGTGTTTGTACAGATCCGTTTTGGCATTGACTTCCTCTCTGGTGATAAGGATGTTCTCTTCCTGGTACAGGGAGGGCACCTCTCTCATGAAAAATTTTATGGCCTTTTTGTAGGTAGAAAAGGGCAGGTCAGAGACCCCTTCTTACATCTGCTGTTTCTCAAGTGCCTTCAGTTCAAAATAATCAATAGGCCAAAGTGGCATATTTTGGGATGGCATGTCCTGAACCCCCTCCCCCAAACACATGTTTTCCAAGTGGTCACCTGCAGAAATTGCTCATCAGATGCTCCCAAGTCATCTCATACTTCCTGGCCAGGTTTATAGCAGAGGAGTTTGGCAGTGAAGGGTGAAGCCTCTGGAGCCAGATTCTTGGGTTCAAATCCCAGTTCAACCACTTACGAGCTATGCGGTCTTAGGAAAGTTTCCTTATTTGTGAGAATGGAATAAAAGTAGTAGTACCAACCTCAGAGGTTGTTTGAGAGTTAAATGAGTTAATACTTGTTCCCGGCACATTGTGAGTTCTCATAATGTTACTGCTATATTGATATATCACTAGCAATTGATATAATGACCAGCCCATCCATTTCTTGGGGACCAAGTGTGTCTTATAACTGAGGCCCTGGTGACACAACGGTGAGCAAGTCAGTCCCTGCCTCCTAGGAGTTCGAGGTCTCTGGGGGAAATGGGCCAGTGACTAGAGAGACCCTGGCAAGTCAGGGTTGCCATGGGGAAGCACATGGTGCTGGGGGCACCTAGAGGAGAAATGGGATGGAGCAGGGACAGGTAACGAGAGACACTGAGTCTTGAAAGATGGGGTGGAGTTAACCTGGCCAAGGGGAGGAGGGAGGGCTGTCCAGACAGAAAGAGTAACAGGAAAAAATAGGAGGAGTTTTGACAAATAAAACACAGGTTTATTCAAAAATTATATGAGTGCTCCCTGTTCTAGGTACTAGGGAGACTGCTGTGAATAGACAAAGTCCTGCTCTCGCTACGATAGCTGACATTTATACCCCACTTATTGCCTGCCCCACACCTACCTGCGTGCATTATACTTGTTACCTACGAGGTACCTTACTGCTTGTCAACTGAATTAAAAACAGACAACACGAGAGCTGTGAGTTTCGGTTTTCTTCGGGGACTTAGTGAGGGCTGTAGCCCATGAGACAGACTCTCAGAAAGCTCTGTGGAACTGTTCCAAAGAGGTAAGGGGGAAGGTCAGTAGATCTGTGATTTTGGCAAAGGGAGTACATGCAACCAAGCACACATCTCAGTAGAAAGTTGCTGCTGGTCATGAGGAACAGATGTGTTAATGAACGGTTTTAGTGCTTTTCTAAGTATGGGATGATACAAGAGTTTGGGTTCATAAAATTTTCTCCTGAAAAGATCTATCTGAAGGCCTGTTCTGCCAATTTCCCCAGAGCACAGAGTGCCTCATTCCTGATCTCTGCCCTGAACTCCTTTCAGGGGGTGTTGAAGGTCTGTGACTGCAGTGGCTAGTGTCTTCGTTCTTGTAGAACCAGATGGTGAGCAACGTTTTTTAGTTGTCCTCCTATAACCTCCATTTAACATTTGGGCTAAATGGAGAGCAGACGAATCTGCTAACTTGGTCAGATTGGTAAACTCCTAAGGAGCAGAGCTGGGATTGACACCAGGCAGTCTGGCTGCAGTGTCTGGTCTTAACCACTCTGCTATGCCGCCCTTAAGGAGCTTGCTGACATTCTCGGGACCTACTGCGGGAGCCAGGAGTGGGTTTTCTTGGCTGGAGTACTGAAACAACCACGGCAGACAGATTAAGGCCAGCTTGTGATGGGCCTTGAATGCCAGGCTAAGGGGCTTGGATTTTATCTTGCCTGCTGGGTAGAGGATGGCTTGGAAAAGGCAAGGTGGGACCCAGAAAAAACACCTTCCCCTCGCCTCCCGTACACTGTGGCAAGAATCTGGGCCAGAGATGACAATGGACTGGGAGGCAGCGGTGCAACGGGATGAACAGACCGCAACAGCTTCCGGTAGAGCCGTGCGCCGGCGGCAGAGGAGGCCAGCCTGGGGCGGGAGGTCGCCGGCGCCCGGGCCGGCCATTGGCGGCGGGCTGGGCCGCGGCCCCTCCCGCGGGGCGGGGCGAGCGCTGCGGGCTCGCTAGGGTAGCAGCGCTGCAGCATCCTCGCCGAGCTCCCCGCAGCCGCGGCCCGCGCAGCGCGCCGCTCCCGCTCCGCAGTCCCGAGGCAGCCCCTGGCGAGGCCTGGCAGGTCCAGCTCGGAGCAGAGCTCGGTCCAGTCGGGGTAGGTGAAGGGCGGCGGCGGGGAAGGGAGGTGGCTCATCTCGGTAGCTCCTGGGTGGGGGAGGGACTGGGCTCGGGACTTGGTTCCGACCCTGGCGATGGGGAGGGGGCGGTGATGAGCTGTTCTCTGACCACCCAAGATGGGGGCTCGGGTAGGGATGGGGTGGGAGTAGGGTCGCGGCACCAGAGCTGTGCTCTGACCTGGTCGAGGAGGGAACAGGGCTCAAACCCGGGACCAAGCCGGGGGGGGGGGCCGGTGGGGAGGGCGGTAAGGGGAGAGGGTTGTAAGCTTGGGGGCTCCCGGGTTCTGTTGCTCGCGGGAGGGGGCTATCGCTGGGGGCGGGGGCAGAGCACAGCCTGTGCCGGAGGATGGGCGGCGGGCGCTGAGCCGAGATGCTATGGCTGGCGGGCACCCTGCTGTGCCTGCTGCTGGCGGCGGCGGTCCCCACGGCCCCCGCGCCGGCTCCGACAGTGACCCCGGCTTCGTTCGAGCCCGGCCCGGCTCTCAGCTACCCGCAGGAGGAGGCCACTCTCAACGAGATGTTCCGCGAGGTTGAGGAACTGATGGAGGACACGCAGCACAAACTGCGCAGCGCGGTGGAGGAGGTGGGTGCGCCCGAAGGGCCCGCGTTCCGGGGAAGCGCGAGGCTGGCGACAGCGGGGGCTGGGGAAGCAGTGGTACGAGCGCTGGCCAGGGTCCTCAGGTCCGCTAAAGGGCTGGGCAGGGCGGGCAGCAGATTCCGAGTTATCTGAAGGCAGTGCGGGGTGATCCCAACTCCCGCCTCGTTCTGCCTTCCTGCCAAAACCTCTGGATCTGAGTCCACCCAGAGACTCCGGCCGGACCTGCCCATGGGCAGCGGGGGTCACCACCTGCCTGCAGGCTGCCGGCCATCACCTTGCAATTATCTTCAGGTGTGCAGTTGGCCTCATCCTGTCCTCAGCGGAGGCTTGCAAGGCCCCTGGTATTCCAGCGCTGTGGTTTTGCTGAGGAAGCTCCAGGCATCTCAAGTCCCAGCTTGTCTGGGCTTTGAGCTTGTGCCATCTTCCCGAGAGACAGTTAGGGTGCCACGTGGGGACAAAGAGCCCTGAGCTTTGCTGGTAATCTGTCTGGGCTTCCCCAGTGCCATGTGGGGCAGAGAAGGAAATCGGGAGTCCTAAATCCCAGCAGTGTCAGTTGTCAGAGGGTGGTGGGTGAGAGGAGGAGACGCCGTGTGTGGGGCAACCTCCCACCCCACCCCAAGAGTGCTTTGGAGTCAGTCCTGGGCTCAGGGCCCTCTTCTGCCATTCACTAGCAGGTGGCATTGGGCAGATCCCTTAACATCCTGTACCTCAGTGTCCCGTGAGAATTAAATCCACGATATGTGTAGCACCTGGCATGAAATAGCTGCTCAATATATAGCAGCTGTTAGTTATCAGATACCAGATACTTTGGGAAAGCTTTGCTTGGCTTCTTCCTTCCATTGCCTCCCAGGTCCAAATGCTATGGATGGCATCCTCTATGGTGGGCATGCAAGCATCTCCAGGGTTGCCTGGACAGGAGGTGCAGCTGGCCCACCTCTCCCAGCCAGGGGGCCCTGCTGCCTGGGGTGGGTAGGCATGGCCCCTCTTGGGCCTGCCTCTGCTGCAGCCTGTCTTTGGAGAGAAGCCGGCCATACAGTGAAGGAGTCAGTGAGAGACCAGATGTCTAGGCTGGAAGGTCAGGTGCCTCCACATCCCTGCTTCTCTGCACTGCATTTGGACAAAGTCTCCAAACCTGGCTCTGGTCTACCAGGAGAGGTGGCTTTCTCCTCCCACCCCTGTGTGGTTTGGGTTAGTACCCCTTCCTGCCCACAGCAGTCAGCCTGGTGGACCCTGGACACTGGTGAAGGGGACACTGGATTGGGAGGTGGTTGCATGGGCAGCTGTATCTGAACATCCACTGGACAGGCCAGATTCTAAAGCCTGTGGCCTTCCTGTCTCCTGAGAAAGCGAAAGAATCATGACATGGAACAGTGAAAGGCGCCGAGGCATCAGAGGCCCCGGTGTCTTTTCACTCTGCACCTTCAAATTGAACTGAGCTCACGATCCTTCTGGTTCCAGAGCAGGTCATTTGCTTCCCTCCTGCCCGTGGACTCCCACTGAGCCTGACCAGGTCACCTGCGTGTGTTCAGTGTGAACTTGTTCGTGCAGGATGGTCCTCTGCTGGCAGCCCCTGGTGAGGGGGGATGAGGGAGCGGCAGGGCCCCTTCAGTCTCTCCATTGATGAGAGCAGTTTGCGGCCAGCGGGACGTTGTGGTGGTGCTGACTCCGAGGGAGCTGGCCACGTTGCCTTTGCCTGGGCCCCAGCCTTCCTCCTCCAGACATGGCTCTGCCTGACTTCTGCAGTTTGCCACCAGGGGAGACATGGGCTGGCACCTCCACCCCACTCAGTGGGAACCAACCTTCCTTTTCTTGTCCCAGCTCTGCCACTTACTAGTGGTGGGATCCAGGCTCTGAAATGGAGGAAATGTCCATTTCCCCTGGGGGTAATGGGGAGAATTAAATGAGAGGATGTAAGTAAAGCAAGTTTTCTGGTCGTCTAAAATGGGTTAAGTAGGGACTTCCCTGGTAGTCCGGTGGTTAGGACTTGGTGCTTTCACTGCCATGGCCCGTGGGCCCGTGGCCCCGGGTTCTATCCCTGGTCGAGGAACTAAGGTCCCGCGAGCTGCGCAGCACAGCCAAAAAATAAAAAAAAAAATGAGGTTAAGTAAAATTGATGCAATATAAGTTGCCCCCTCGTGTGGTTGTCAGGACTATGGGAAATTGTTGGTTCTCAATAAATAATGGCTCTCATTATCATCATATTAATAACAGTAGTATGAATGATAACAAAAGAACTACCAGTGTCTTGATACGTGATAGATTCACAATAGATTATGCCTATTAGTATTAATTTTTTAAAAGAGACTGCCAGAAAGCCCCTTAAATCTCATAAACATAAGATAATTGCTGTTTACTTACTGTCCCAGAGAAGAGCCAAAAAGGACCTGAGGCCAGATGCATTAATTGTTTACATAGTTTACATAGTTGCATCATGAATCTGCTTTCAAGTAACTTCCTGACATTTAAAATATTCCAGCTGACTCAAGCTGCTGATTTCTCTTAAGGGAAAAAAGTTAACTCTGCTTGTAGGATCATTATTGAGGGGAAGCAAATCTTCCAATGGTTCAGTCTGGGCTGTTCCTGTTTTCCTGTTTAATTATTCTGTATGTTACTGATAAAAGTATTGTGAGGATAAAACCATTCCCCGCCCCTCCGTTGCCACATCTGTAGCTGACATATTTTAGAATGTTCTTAACCACCTCACCTGTTCCTAGGAAGAATCCCAACTAGTGGCAGTGATAGTTGTGGTTGAAATTTCCACTGTAAACTGTACTTTTAGCTTGTGGTGCCATGAAAGAGCTTTAGCTCATTCTGTTGAAATAACCCCTGGTTGAGGGGGAGAAGGTTTTATATAAAGACTATCTGTTCAGCCCAGAGCAAATTCTAAATTTGGTAACTTGTCAATTATTTGCAAGCCGAACTGGAGGATTACGATTCCTATGGAAATTTTAAAAGCATTAAAACATTCGATTCTCCTTCCGGATTTAGTCCCTCTAGTATCTCCAGACTCCTATTCTTTCCCAGCTGTATCTTTTCTATCACTAAACATCTCAGGATCTCTCACTTAAATTTAAGAAGGCTTTTTCTTAGTCTTAAATCACCTGTCTTAGCTTCATCCATTTCTACTCCATTTTATTAGCAAACCCTTGGAACACATGTTATTTACTACCTGCTCTTTCCACTCCTACCCAGACATCCCCCGGCAAACTAGCTTCTTCTAAAACTGCTTTCTTAGACGACTACGTTATGCAAGTATTACACCTTTGCTGGTTGACAGATACCGTACCAAGCACTCAGATTTCATGATCCTTAATCGTTAACATCTGCTCAACAAAGTAGAATCATCCCCATTTTACAAACAAGAAAGCTGAGGTTTAGAGATATTTGGTATCTTGCCCCCAGGTCACGTGGCTGCTTTGTGGCCGAGCTGGGACTTGCCCCTGCCCCCCATTACCTGACTCCAGAACCCGGGCACTTTCTACTGTGCTGCCTTCTGACGACGCTGCGGGCAACTTCTTGCCTAATCTAGTGGCCAGCTCTCAGTGGCTTGGTCCTACTAGTTTTATTTGGAGCCTTTACCACCTAGAAGGCCCCTCCCCAGATAAAACTTCTGACTCGCAGCCTGCTTGTAGCTAGTCCCCTGAGTCCGTTCTTTTTCTTCTCTGGATTCTGTATTATCTCCCAACTAGTCTTCAGAACTTGCTGCAGCTCCCCATTGCTTGGTGCAAAGGTTCTTACCTGAGGGCGAGTAGAGGGGAGGGAATATCTCAGAATCATCTGGGAAGCTCACTGATATGTGGGGTCCCCCCTCCAGAAATTCTAATTTGGTAGGTCTAGAAGGGATCCAGATATGTATATATTTTTTTAAAGTTTGGACATGACTCTGAGGTGCCTCTCGGTTGAGAACCAGGCTAACATTGTCTGCATTAGAACTGCCCCTGGACTCACCTGTCAATTTGTCTCTACTTCCTTATCCATTATTTTATCCATTTAGGGTCCAGCATGGACCCTCTGCCCTAGCCCATGACACACCGTTCTCATCCAGGCTGCCAGTTTCGCCTCCTCTATGCTCCTCTCTATCCAAATCATATCTGTCCTGTGAGACCAACCCAATCATGCCTCCTCTTCCACCTGGAAGTCTTTTTCCTCTCTTCTTTGAACCCCTGACTCGCTTCTACAGACTGTCATAATCATCCTCAAACTGGCTTGTGTGGGGCTCTCCTATCTCCCCAGCAAAAGTATAAGCAGAATCACACACTAGGAAAGGCACATAATTTGGAGTCAGACTGACCCGAGTTCTAATACGAGTTTTGCCACTTACTAAGAATGTGATAACCTTAGGCAGATTCCTTCCCTTTTTCAACCTCATTCTTTTCATCTGCAAAATGAGGGTAATAACACTTCCTCTTAACGGTTGCTGTGAATATTTAAGGAGATATGGAAGGGACTGGTGCAATGGCTCAGACATAGCTGATGCCCAAGCATGGAGGTGATGATGATGACGACTGTGATGGTGATGACGGAGCCAGTGACCAGGGTTCAGACATGTGGGGAGTTGTCTCAGGGTCAAACACAGCGGTTGCTGACCAAGTCCTTGGTTGGTTATCCGGTCCTTTATGCTGACCAGACTTTCTTCACACTTCTGGTGCAGTGTCTTTGTGCTACGTTGAGACATGGGAATTCTTTCCCCATGTATACCCAGCTCAGCAAATCTGGATGGGAGAGAAAGGAAAGGAGGGGGCCTCATGTAGTATGTAAGGGAATGGAGGACAGTGATTTTTAAAATAGAATCTTTTTTGAGGATTCCTTTAAAGGAATAAAAATAGCCCAGAGTCAAAGATTGCACTGTTGGAAAATTGCCAAGCATCAGCTACAACTTCTCTCTGTGTCTCTCATTCTAAATTCCTAGAGAGAGTGTTGGGTTGGCTCAGTCGATGACATGACCTCTGTTTGAGTCCAATCAACTGTGACTGGTCACACTGTCACCTGTCCACTCATCAGGACTGGGGCTGGAATTGGGTACAGACTTAAATTGACTGACATGTCTGGTATAGATGTCATGGAAGCTCATGATTTGTGGACAGTGGCCTGAGAAATGTGGCATCAGAAAAGGACACTTGTGCAAGAAGAGCCAGGAGGAGGGTGCACCCCGGGAGCCAGTCACCTGACCCTCTACAGGGGTCCCTCTTGTACTCAGGGGGTGGGTGGGGAACAGACATAGCTGTGGCACCACCTGCAGTGGGGAAGGGGCTGTCCTAGGTTGGGTCCCCACCCTAACCTGGCCCTGCAACAAGGATTTGGGAGCAAATAATTCATTTGTGATGTGATCCCAGAAACACGAGGAGGAAGTGGGAAAGTGAGATGGAAAAGAAGAGAGGCAATAAAGGCTTTGCTGATGAGCAGGTTACTGCTAGGGACAACTAGGGCTCAATCCCCCTGGGGTCCTTGGAGAGAGACCGTCCCACTGAGGGGAGAGGGCACTGGGATACTTACCCCCGTAGCCTGTCCTTCACTGGTTAAGGGTTGTCCCTGGAGTGCTCACTCCCTAACACGTGGGGCCTGTGCAGACTGAGCACACTTCTGCAGCCAGAGAATGCTCTCGAAGAGAGACAGAGGTGGTTGTTGGCACATAGGGAACAAATGCGGGTGACCTCCCGATTAGGCCACGGAGAGATGGGCGTGGCACCGAGAGCATCTATACAGGGGTCAAGACTGTTCAACAGAGGCATTCTCAAATCCCGACTCTGCCCTCCACTGAGAGTCTTGGGAAGTTATCTAGTCTTCCTGAGCCTCGGTTGCCCCACTTGTAAAGTGGGGCCGTTAACACCCGCCTCACAGGGAGGTTGTGAGATGTAAGGCAATGATATAGGTAGACATTTAGAACAACGTCTTGTTCTCCTGGGTACTCAACTTCTGGTGCCTACTATCATCAGCACCACTGTAATTGCAGAAGAGGAAAAGAGAAGTGGTTCTTTTTTTCTAATGGACTCTGATTTGTATCAAGAGAAAGCAATATTGCTCATTAAATCCATTGATTTAATTAGATGGAGGCAGAAGAGGCTGCTGCTAAAACGTCATCAGAAGTGAACCTGGCACGCTTACCTCCCAGCTATCACAATGAGACCAACACGGAAACCAAGGTTGGAAATAACACCATCCACGTCCACCGAGAAATTCACAAGGTAAGGGCGGTCGTGGCCAGCACTTCCTCCTTTCCTCATCTCCTGGTCCCATCAGAGGACTAAGGTCTTGTTTACATGTTTGATATACAAGCCAAAAAATACAAATGAGGATAGTAAAATACATGTTAAAAACCAGAGGGAGTGAGGGAGCTATTTAAAGGGGGAAAGGTATGTATCAAAAACATAAATTCTTTTGTATTTAAGCAGTAAATTTAACTCTACTCTTCCCGCCAGTCCAACTGCAAAGGGATGTTCAGGGATTTTTATCATTTGAGAAAAGGAAGCAAACAAGTGTTTAGAGAGATACTTTCCTAGTATCGAATTTGAGGAATTTATTTCACAGGTTTTTTTTTTTTTTTTTTTTTTTTTTTTTTTTTTTTTTTTTTTTTTTGGCGGTACGCGGGCCTCTCACTGTTGTGGCCTCTCCCGCTGCGGAGCACAGGCTCCGGACGCGCAGGCTCCGGATGCGCAGGCTCAGCGGCCATGGCTCACGGGCCCAGCCGCTCCGTGGCATGTGGGGTCTTCCCGGACCGGGGCACGAACCCGCGTCCCCTGCATCGGCAGGGGGACTCTCAACCACTGCGCCACCAGGGAAGCCCTATTTCACAGGTTTTTATCCGTGTTTCAGTAGTGAGTTGAAATAGAGTTCATGCTGTAGTGAATAGATCTTCACCATTTCCTTAGGAGGAGCACAAACACTCAGCCTTCAGAAGAAAAAGCCTCTATTGCCAGGAGATGAAATATTCTTTTGTTTGCTGGTTATCCATTCAAAATTCTACAGCAGAGTGTTTCCTAACCTACCACACATCTTAAGTGTCTCTTGGTCCAATATCTTGCACGAAGAGCAAGCAGGTTTGTTCTCAATCTGACTCGAGGAAGAAAATGTTGCAAACCTAGAGGAATGTGACATTAGCTTGCCCCTAGTGTGAGATGTCTCCCATATGAGTTTGGCAGGACTTTGGGAGCAAACCACTTGGCCTGTGTTCTCTGGAAGAGAGTCTGGTGTGCAGATGTTCAGGGTCATTGTTAGAGGCTATAGAGTTGACCTTCTGTTGTGAGCATCAAGGAGCTTGATCTCTGATCTCATCTCGATGCCTACATGCAAGGCCGTGACGGCTCTCACAGAAGCAACCTGCTTTTGTTCAAGTGCCCAGGTAATGGGTTGAAACAATAGCACTTCTGTGCTATAGAGGATAAAGGGGTCAATTTTCACGGGCCATTGCCTTGACTATAAAGTAGCCTCTGTGTGGCTCTTCTCCTGCTACATACTGATGGCCCAGCTCCAGAGTGTACCCCCCGCATAAATAAATGAGCCACCTGCGAAACACAATCCTTTCGCATTGCTCGTCTGAAGACTGAAGAATGTTTCCAAAAGTGATTGTTTCATTCTTGTCAAAACCAATATTAAGTCACCCTTTCTGAGAATAATCAGCCAGTAGTTTCAGCTGCTTCTTAAATTTTCTCCTTGTAGATATCAGAATACCCAAACGTGAGTCCTACCAGTAACTAGTGTGATTTTGAAAAACTTTCTTCAATTTCATGACCCTCACTAACTGCGTTTAGCAAATGGGGATATCAACATCTACATTACGGTATTATGGGGGTCCAATAACTTAAAGTATGTGAGAGTCATTGTAAACTATGAAGTGCTATCCAGCAGCAAATCCTTCGTCTTGTTCTTACGGTAAAGTTACGGTATCCGCACGGTGTAGTAGTTCTCGAGCGGGTTCCATGGAGCTCCTGTCCTGTGTGATGCTTTATAAAAGAAGGGCTCAGTGGTGAAACATGTTTGGAAAACATTGTACATATTTCTCTTCCTAGAGATACAAAAATGCACCTTAGTATAATAAAGGCTCTGAGAAGTCCTGCAACCTATACATATAGGACTGTACGATTAAAAAAAATATAACATTGGTTAATCCTGTAAAAACCTGGCATAAAGGAAGAAGACATCATCTCTTTGCTGGAGAGAGGAATTATTTAGATAAAAATAAAGTATGTTGATGAAGACATGATCCTTATCTCCTCAGAACTGGAATTAGAACTAGAATTTGATCCACTATTGCACATTAGCCTAAGAGTTTCCACTTTGTTTTGGCCGCAGACGCCTGTGACATTAGAGCTGGCAGGAACTTTAAAGATGACCTAGAAATGAGAAAACTGTGAATCAGAGAATAGAAATGATTTGTTCCAGGTTACATACTAGATGGTCATTGGTGTCTGAGGCAGGACTCAAAGAACAGAGGTCTCCTAGCTCCTGGGCTTCTTTCTGTCTTTTTATCACCAACACAGAGGTTTGACATGGCCTTGGATGGGGTGGGAGTAGCCTGGGTTCCACGTCAGGTTTCTAAGGCTCAGCTTTGAGGTGCCTGCTCCTGTTTACAGAAGGCAGGCAACGGATAGAGGAATACAGGGCCAGGCCTCCCATAGTACTTAAGCACTTTTTTGATGAAACAAAACAGTTCCCCAGAATCAGGAAGGGGGGCAGCTGTAGCTAAAACCTGCTTCCTTCAATACCCAGACCTGTAGTTGGAAAGAAAGCTGACACTGAGTTTCAGTAAATGAGCCCCAAGAATGATAAAAATAGCTAGCGCTGAATATTTGCGAGGTGACGGGCTGTGTGCTGTGTGCTTTACACAGACCTCCTCGGCCCTCCTCCTAGCAGCCCCATGCTGTAGGCTCTGTTACATCTCTTATCGCTGCACCATCTGACGCTGCTGGTGGAGCTCAGAAAGAAAGGGGGACAGGACTCCCCTGGTGGTCCAGTGGTAAAGAATCTGCCTTCCAATGCAGGGGACGTGGGTTCGATCCCGGATTGGGGAACTAATCCCACATGCTGCTGGGCAACTAAGCCCGCATGCTACAACTACTGAGCTCGCGCGCCTCAATGAGAGAGCCCGCGTGCCGCAAACTACAGAGCCCACGCGTGCCACAACTAGAGAGAAAACCCACACCCCACAACTAGAGAGAAGCCCGCGTGCCGCAACGAAAGATCCCACGTGCTGCAACTAAGACCCGAGGCAGCCAAAAAAATAAAGAAAATAAAAAATAATAAAATGCATTTAAGAAGAGGGGAGGGAGTGGGCATTCTGTCTACTTTGACAGGTGCTTCTGCTTCAGAAAATAGAAAACAGTAAAACAAAAAAACAACCTGTGGGATTTGCCCAGAATTCCTCCTATTTCACATTCACTGTGCTTGTTCTCCTATAGATCACCAACAACCAGACTGGACAGATGGTCTTTTCAGAGACGGTCATTACGTCAGTGGGCGATGAAGAAGGCAAAAGGAGCCACGTGAGTGGTCATCTTCCCCGTGCTCGCACCCGAGGCACACACTCCTTTGCTGAGCCTGCAAAGCTGGCCCAGACTTCAGAGTGGCTGCAGGAGGGAGCTGGCTCCCCTGCACCTCTCCTGTTTCGTTTCTGCCAAGATTCCCCAATGCCTACATTTCTGGCCAGACAGCCGCAGTCTGGTAACAGGCTCTGCCTCCATATGCACTCTGCCTCAGAAATGGCAGGACACATTCAATTCAGTTGTCATTTGCATGGCTGAGGCTCAGCCTTGGAAGGGGAACACTGAAGTATCGGGTGCATTGGTCAGGGTTCCTGGTAACAAGACCTGGTGCATCCGACCTGAAAATACCCTAGAACCTCTGGCATGACCCACGTCATTTATGATCCCAGCCCCGGTCTGGCAGTTTGAGAGCAAGAAAACCTTAAATGGAACCCAGTGGCCCATTGGAAAGGTGTCCCCCTACTCCAGGCTTCTCGCTGGGCCCCTTGTGATTGCACCCGCTACTCAGTAGCCTGTTGCTCAGTCCAAAGGTGGGCTGCTTTTTAGAGAATTATAGATTCTGAACATTGAGAGAGACATCATTTCACAGAAGAAAGGCCTGGCATAGGTTGGGGGATGACCCAGGCCGAGTCACTGTTGTCCAGACTCCCAGATGAGAGGTGACTCAGCTGTACCTTATCTTCGCAAAGAGGTGGCTGGTTTCAGATGCAGAGGCCTGGTGAGGAGAGGACAAGGCAACTGCCATGTGACATGGTGCATTGTAAAAAGTGCCTGCTCTGTGGGGCCTGCGAGGGCCAGCCTCTCTGTGCCCAAGCACCTTATGCAAACTTCCCACTGCACGTTCTTCTCTGAGGTGTAGAATGCATCCCCAGCCTTCTGAGGGGATCCAGGATATTCCCTCACCCCTTGTGGCCTTATCACAGGAAAAGAAGGGGTGTACCCATAATTGTTAGGTGGTGTTGCTGTGGTTGGTAGTCGATGGGTCCTTTTTTTTTTTAATATTTATTTACTCATTTATTTTTATTGAAGTATAGTTGATTTACAATGTTGTGTTAGTTTCTGTTGTACAGTAACGTGGTTCAGTTATACGTATACATATATATATTCTTTTTCATATTCTTTTCATTATGGTTTATTACAGGATATTGAATGTAGTTCCCTGTGCTATATAGTAGGACCTTGTTGTTTATCTATTTTATATATATTAGTTTGTATCTGCTAACCCCAAACTCCTAACTTACTCCTCTCCCAACCCTTTTGCCCCTTGGTAACCATAAGTTCTCTATGTCTGTGAGTGTGTTTCGTAAATAGGTTCGTTTGTGTCATAGTTTAGATTCCACATATAAGTGATATTATATGGTATTTGTCTTTCTCTTTATCACTTAGTGTGATAATCTCTAGTTGCATTTATGTTGCTGCAAATGGCATTATTTCATTCTTTTTTATGGCTGAGTAGTATTCCGTTATGTATATGTACCACACCTTCTTTATCCATTTATCTGTCATGGACATTTAGGTTGCTTCTGTGTCTTGGTTATTGTAAATAATGCTGCTATGAACATTGAGGTGCATGCATCTTTTCGAATTATAGTTTTCTCCAGATATATGCCCAGGAGTGGGATTGCTGGGTCATATGGTAGTTCTATTTTTCATTTTTTAAGGAACCTCCATACTGTTCTCCATACTGGCTGTACCAACTTACATTCCCACCAACAGTGTAAGAAGGTTCCCTTTTCTCCACACCCTCTCCAGCATTTGTTATTTGTAGACTTTTTAATGATGGCCGTCCTGACTGGTGTGAGGTGGTACCTCACTGTAGTTTTGATTTGCATTTCTCTAATAATTAGCAATGTTGAGCATCTTTTCATGTACCTCTTGGCCATCTTTATGTCTTCTTTGGAGACATAGGTCTTCTATTTAGGTCTTCTGCACATTTTTTAATTGGGTTGTTTGTTTTTTTGTTATTGAGTTGTATGAGCTGTTTGTATATTTTGGAAATTAAGCCCTTGTTGGTTGAATCTTTTGCAGATATTTTCTCCCAGTCTGTAGGTTGTCTTTTCATTTTGTGTATGGTTTCCTTTGCTGTGCAAAAGCTTATGAGTTTGATTAGGTCTCATTTGTTTATTTTTGCTTTTATTTCTATTGCCTTGGGAGACTGAACTAAGAAAACATTGGTACGATTTATGTCAGAGAATGTTTTGCCTATGTTCTCTTCTAGGAGTTTTATGGTGTCATGTCTTATATTTAAGTCTTTAAGCCATTTCGAGTTTATTTTTGTGTATGGTGAGAGGGTGTGTTCTAAGTTCATTTGTTTACATGAGGCTCTCCAACTTTCCCAACACCACTTGCCGAAGAGACTGTCTCTTCTCCATTGTATATTCTTGCCTCCTTTGTTGAAGATTAATTGACCATAGGTGTATGGGTTTATTTCTGGGCTCTCTATTCCATTCCATTGATCCATATGTCTGTTTTTGTGCCAATACCATGCTGTTTTGATTAGTGTAGCTTTGTAGTATTGTCTGAAGTCTGAGAGGGTTATGCCTCCAGCTTTGTTCTTTTTCCTCAGGATTGCTTTGGCAGTTCTGGGTCTTTTATGGTTCCATATAAATTTTAGGATTATTTGTTCTAGTTCTGTGAAAAATGTCATGGGTAATTTGATAGGGATTGCATTAAATCTGTAGATTGCTTTGGGTAGTATGGCCATTTTAACAATATTAATTCTTCCAATCCAAGAGCATGGGATAGCTTTCCATTTCTTTGAACCATCTTTAATTTCCTTTATCAGTGTTTTTTAGTTCTCAGCATATAAGTCTTTCACCTCCTTGGTCAGGTTTATTCCTAAGTAATTTATTTTTTTGATGCAATTTTAAAAGGGTCTTTTTTTTTACTTTCTCTTTCTGATATTTCATTGTTAGTGTAAAGAAATGCAACCGATTTCTGTATGTTGATCTTGTATCCTGCTATCTCGCTGAATTCGTTTATCAGTTCTAGTAGTTTTTGTGTGGAGTCTTTAGGGTTTTCAATATATAGAATCATGTGATCTGCATAAAATGACAGTTTTACCTCTTCCCTTCCAATTTGGATATCTTTTATTTCTTTTTCTCATCTGATTGCTGTGGCTGGCTAGGACTTCCAATACTATGTTGAATAGAAGAGGTAAGAGTGGGCATCCTTGTCTTGTTCCAGATTTTAGCAGGAAGGCTTTCAGCTCTTCACTGTTAAGTATTATATTGGCTGTGGGTTTGTCATAAATAGCGTTTATAATGTTGAGATATGTTCCCTCTATGCCCACTTTAGTAAGAGTTTTTATTATGAATGGACATTGAATTTTGTCAAATGCTTTTTCTGCATCTATTGAGATGATCATACAGTTTTGTCTTTTGTTTATGTGGTGCTGATTTGCGTATGTTGAACCATCCTTGTGAGCTTAGGATGAATCCACTTGGTCATGGTCTATGATCTTTTTTATGTGTTGTTTGATTCGGTTTGCTAATATTTTGTTGAGAACTTTTGCATCTATATTCATCAGAGATATTGGCCTGTAGTTTTCTTTTTTGGTGGTGTCTTTGTCTGGTTTTGGTATCAGGGTGATGGTGGCTTCATAGAATGTCTTTGGGAGTGTTCCCTCCTGTTCAGTTTTTTGGAAGAGTTTGAGAAAGATTGGTAAAAATTCTTTTCTGTATATTTGGTAGAATTCGCCTGTGAAGCCATCTGGTCTGGGACTTTTGTTTGTAGGAAGTTTTAAAATTACAGATTCTATTTCATCTCTAGTGATTGGTCTATTCAAATTATCTATTTCTTGATTGAATTTTGGTGGGCTGTATGTTTCTAGAAACTTGTCCATTTCTTCTAGATTGTCGAATTTGTTGGCATATAACTGTTCATAGTATTCTCTTATGGCTTTTTGTATTTCTGTGGCGTTGGTTGTTATGTCTCCTCTTTCATTTCTTATTTTGTTTATTTGGGTCCTCTCTTTTTTCTTCTTAGTGAGCCTGGCCAGAGGTTTGTCGATTTTGTTTACCCTTTCAAAGAACCAGCTCTTGGTTTTATTGATTTTTTTTCTATTGTTTTTTTAATCTCTATTTTATTTATTTCCTCTCTGGTCTTTATTATTTCCTTCCCTCTGCTGACTGGATGGGTTCTTTTTGCTTGTTTTGGCACAGTGCTCAGACATTTACTGCAGGCTGGGGGAGTCCAGTCAGCTTTGTGTGGTGGTGATGACCCCCCATTCAAGGGACCTGGGAGCTGACGGAGGGCAAGCCATTTGGTGAAATGAAGAGAGACTTAGTGGCAGAGGCTGGAAGCATGAGTTTGTTACATATAAACTAGGTCACCTCATTTCCCTCATCTTTAAATGAGGCAATGATTTTCACCATCTCTCCTGACTCTGAAAGTACAGAAGCCTGTGAAACAAAGATAGGATTGACTAAGGTCAGGAGGGAGGAAAGACCAGCTTTTGAAGGTGGGGAGAGAGAGAAGAAAAAACCCAGAAAAATAGAAAAAAACCCAGACAGACAGATGGTACCAAGAGGGAAAAAGCTTTAGAATGTTCCAGATTTAAGTCTCTGTGAAAGGGCAGGGGAAACACAACTCTCAGGGCTGTGGACTACAAAAAGAAAGCTTTTGTGTTCAAGAAAAAAAAGGTATATGATTGCATGATAGTATAGTTTTGCTCTGGAGAGCTTCCCAGAGCCCAGAGGGCAACAGCACTGCTATGAGCACCTCTGTACCTGCTGGAGGCCCAGGTGCACATCCCATGCTCCCCGCTCTGCCCTCCGAGTGAGGCAGCTGTGTCAGGCTTTGAGCCCTGTGGCGGGGAGAACCAAGGCCCTGAGAGTGGTGGGTGACTGAGAGACCACACCTCAAAGGTGCCAAGAGCGTGCGTGGCTCAGGGAGCAGCTGCCTGCACTTGTGTGCTGCAGCCTCTGAGTTTGTGCCAGTCTTCCTGAGTCTGCACGGCCTGTGTGTCCATGTTCCAGGCTTAGCTGGGAGGCCCAGAA